CAGGAAAAATATATTCGGGGGAGATTTGTATTTAGGGGGGAATCAGTTACAGTTATTACTACAATTGAGAGGGGGGAGGTATTATGAGCTTTGAGTACTACAATTAAAGGGGAAGTATTAATTACGACTACGGTTAGTAGGAGGGGGAGGATGTTAGTTTAATATTAATTCTGATTACAAATAGCAGGCGCAAAAGGTTATTAGTTTTGAAGATTGAGAAAGTATTGATTACGGCTACTATTTTTACAGTTAAAAAGGGCGAGAGGTCGTTGATTACAATTATTTCCACGAATTTCGTAGTATTGTAACTAACGGTTTAATACAAATAGTAGTCCCTTAGGTGGAGCTAGCCTGATAGAGCCTAAGGAAGCCAGTAAAACGCCCATTCTTCTTTCCACCTCCCCCTCCCCCTTTTTTCTTATAAAAAAAAAGAAAAAAAAAACCCCTATTTAAAATTTTAAAGACTCATCATTCGTCATTTTTTTTGCTATCGGAATTCCTCCTCAACAGGAGGCCGGATTAACTTTTACCCAAATTCAAAATATCCGCCGTCATTTTTCCATTATTTTGATACTCAGCCTACCCTTAGGGTTCGCAGGGATATTAATTATAGAAAAAATTTCACCATTTTGAAATTTTCTTTTGTTATCGCCTCCTTTTTTATCGTTGCCCTTTTTATTGTAGTCTTGACGGTTTCATTTATCTTTGCTTCAACAATTTCACTTGGCGATTCTCAAAAACTTTCCAATTACCACGGTCGCATCCACGGTTGTATTCACGGTTGCATCTTCAAAAACCACTCCTTCAAGTACTGTTCAACAACCAGACCTCGTACCACTATAAAATAATAACCAGAATGACCCCTGGATTGAGGCGATCAATCTGACGACTTTTTAAATTTTGATACATTCGACAGTTAAGACGTGGTTCTGACGCCAAAGGATTCTGTTCAAATTTCTATCCTTGCCATCTAGACTGTGTCTTGACCAATGCATTAATTCCCTATTTAGGTCAGATCCCGTGTTGGCAAAACGTAGGGTTAATTGCACCTTGGACCCGTATAGACAGAGCCGCCGCACCTTCCACTTTCGTTTCGGAGCTTCAGCGGGGCCACGGCTGCGACCTTTGGTGCGGATTATTTCCATGACACCTTTGGTGGGCCCGCCTGAACACCTTCAGGTAGAAGGATGAGCGTTTCAATTAAACTTTGTATTTAATATTATTATTGGATAGGGAAGAGAGGTTTAATAGGTTTTGTAACAGTATGTTTACGCGGGGTATTGTATTTTGAATTGGATACTGTAGATGTTGTTAAATTCTTTGAAATTGTTGGTATTTATAGCAATTATATGGTAACATACTGGGGTAATGGGCTTGGACGGAGGCTAATAAGGGGGTGGCTGGATTTCTATTCAATAATTTTTATTTAAGGGATTGTATATATTCATATATTGTCTTATCACGCTAAACTATTTACATAGTCGAACCCGGGGGCGGAGGCCCCGCCCAAAGCCCCCCACATGCAGACACTTCCCCCGGAAGCAGACCCCGACCTGTACTGGCAGACCCACAGACCGCCATACCTCCAGGACACCCCCTGGCACCACAACAACCCCTACCTCGACCTCCCGCGGTCATACCTCGCGAGGTGGATAGGAGAAAAGACCGGACACTACGACTTCCACTCGTACCATGACCGTTTCAACCACCCCCCCGAAGCATACAAGAACTGCTTCTGCGGAGAACCCCTCGAGAAAGGACACTTCTCACTATGCCCACTCGTGGCCTACAAGAACCCACTGGCAACAAAAGACACTCCCAGTGCCTTCGGTTCAAACTACGCCACTTACCTAAACAGGATACACAACCTCAAGGCCGATGGATACACCGGCGCCCGCGCTAGGGCGGACGGCAGTATCTACGGCATCAGAACGATCAGGCCGGAGACCCCGGACCCAGACGACGAACCACTACCCTTCGAAATGCCGGGACACGCACCGGCCGAATTGGAAGGAATCAACTACGACGGACGAACGGTAGGAAGGCTGGAGGAGGACACGGAGATGGAGGAGGAGGAGGGGGAAGGAGGGGAGTGAGGGGAACCGGTCGCCAGTAGATAGAAACAACAGGGTTTTCCACCCCCGGGAAGGTGCCCGTGGGTTTTCCCCGATTAATGTACCTATGCCCAGCCGCCGTCGCGGGCACGACCCATTATCATAGATTGGTAGAACTAGGTCGAAAAATTCATTATTATTATTATTATTATTTACATAGTCTACCCAGTGGGTATGCGGTACTGCTTCCGTTCTTAGTCGGTGGGAAAAACCGTACCGTAGCCGGATGAAAGCCCTCCGCTTCTCTGTTGCAACGACGCCGTGTCGACGCCGTGCCTTCGATGTTTATCTTCCTCTCGGTATAACCTTACCGTCATTCCCGAGGCCCGATCTTTGATTCCGCTGCGTGGTTCCCCGACCGTACTCCCGCTGTCCAGAATCAAAGATCAATCTGAATTCCCTAGTAGCTCTTCTGTTTCCTTGGCTTGTTCGATCTTCACTGCCAGCTTGTACCCCTGCAGTCGTCCTAGTCGCAAAGCCCAGCGAAGGGTTCGTTCCGCCCCCGCCACTGTCTCGATGAATGAATGAATGAATGAATTTTTCGACTACGTTCTACCAATACTAGATAATAAGTCGTGCCCGCGACGGCGGCTGGGCATAGCTACATAAGTGCGGGAAAAAAGCCTCTTAGGTCAGGCGCTCGCGTGGCCGTGGGCTGGAAAAACCCTAATCCTTTCTGTGTGTTTCCACTTTTATTCCAGGCCTCCTGACCCCGGGAGACCAAGCACCTCTACGAATGGCAGTGGCTCGTCGTCCGGGTCGGGGGTTTTTTGCTCTAGACGGGGAGTAAGAAATCCAGATCGCAGAACTGGAAGTCAGCCATGACCTGGTGGACCAGATTCTCCAAGCGAACCGCTCAGCTAATTCACTATCAATCTACAGGGAAAAGGCGAAGTCAGACGACTCCCCCTTTATGTTGAAAGACGGACTACTGACAAAGGATTACAAGCTGGTAGTCCCAGAAGACGAGAACTTGCGCACCAAGCTCATCGAGGCGGCACATTGCCCCGTCACGTCGGCCCACCCTGGTCGGAACAAGACCAAACGAATAGTTTACAAGCGATACTGGTGGGCAGGCATGGCGGAAGACGTGGATCGTTATATCAATAACTGCTGAACTTGCAAGGCATCCAAGGCTCCCAGAGACAAGACTCCCGGCTTGATGCACTCGATCCCATTGAAAGAGGACTGTCGTGCTTTCAAATCACTGGTAATCGATTTCAAGTCGATGCCCAAAGATCGACACGGTTACAATATGATTATGGTAATAATGGATCGATTCACGAAGGCCAGCTGGAGTTTCCCTTGTAAAGACAAGGTTACCGCAAGGGACGCCGCTGTCCTCTACTACCGCGGACCCTACCGCGTCTTCGGTTTCCCAGATGAGGTCATTAGTGACCGCGGTCCACAGTTTGTATCCCAAATGATGCAGGAAGCGGCGTCGCTGTTAAACGTCAAGTGGAAGCTGGCTACATCAGGCCATCCCCAGACCGCGGGCCGCGTCGAGAATCTTCACCAATACATTGACCAACGGTTGAGACCATACATCAACCACAATCAGGACGACTGGTCCGAGTTATCCCAGCACTGGACGCGGTTCAAATGAGCCTACCCCATGATAGTCTGGATGGACTGTCCCCCAGGGAGGTTATCATGGGCTTCCCCATGCCTGGTGTGCTGGATTGGGAGGACCGCGTGGAACCGAAGCCGCCCAAGATGGAGATCAATCGACAAGAGGCTCACCAACTGATTGACCGGTTGAAGACGTTTCATGCCACAGCACGTTACGCCATCAACAAGGCCCAACGGCAGCAAACCACACAGGCCAACAAGCAGAGAAGAGAACCAGACTTCGGTGTTGGAGACCGTGTCTTTATCATCAAAAGAGGTTGGATAACGGACCGTCCTAGTGACAAACTCGATTGGAGACAAACACGTATCCCTTATAGGATCAAGGCCATGAGAGGATACTCTTATGAGCTGGAGGTTCCTGAAGGATGGAGAGGAGCAACCGTTTATCATGCTGACCGTCTGAGGAAGTGTGCCGACAACCCACTGCCTGGACAAGGTAACGAAAATCCAGCTGGCGAGTTGGTCAATGGTGATCAGGAGGAGTGGGAAGTCTTGAAAGTGGTTACATCAAAGGTCACCAGAGGAAAGTTGGAATACCAGGTGGAATGGAAAGGTTGGGACCCCGACCCAGAGTTCTGGCCAACGAGCAACTTTGTCAACTCAGCAGAGCTCTTGAAGGAATATCACGACGCGAACCATATGATGCCAGGACCCCCTCAAACGGCTAACCCAATGGTTGACGGGTGACAAGTTAGACCATGGCGACAACGACAAGCCAGCCGAAGGATCACGAGTTGGTTTTAAAAGGAGAGCAGTGGTAAGGAAGAAGTAGGAGGACGTTGGAGGAAGTGTTCGATTCTTGTCTGTGACGAAATTTTTTCTTTTCATTTTCATTTCTCTTTTCGGCTCTGGGGCTGAGCCTCAATTCGGGAGGGAGGATAGTGTGACAATATGGATCCCGCAACTCTGATGTATTAGATTGGATAAGGAAGGCGGTATAGACTGGCAGATCTGGGCTCATCCCATATAAGGATGCACTTTAGAGCCCAGCTCTCAATCTCTCCCTCTTTTCTTCTTTAGCTTTAGTTATTTATTCATTTGTACCTAACTACGCGATACGGAACTACGTGAGCTGGTGCGTCGTAATAAAGGAGGCGATTTGGAAGGAAGGCGGCGGGCGAGAAATAGTAAAAAGAATAAAACTGAAGCTTAGTTAACGTGTGACAAACGGCAGTCTAATCTGCCTAAAT